CTGCTGCTGCTGCTACTCCTTCCTCCATCCATGGATCAGGCTGGGAATCCTTTGTGTACATATTCATTCATGGTTCAAACCATTTAGCACACTGAATTGCTTGAAAACCTGGATGCACTGCTGCTTGTTTGTTTTCTCATTTAGAGCAGGGAACGTTGTCCTATTAGAAGCTGTGGGAGCTAATGAAAATGGAGGTGTTCTGCTTGAGCAATAGATTTCAGACTTGTCTGGTCTGGCTAATTCAGCAGGCAAAATCTCTATTCACTCCCTACATGATGTTCTCAAGCTGGATCGCATATGTGGTTAATGTGCGTTTGCAAAACTACCCATTTTGCATTCAGGTGCTCAAAGCCAAAAATTGGCAGTTTCACACAGCTCTGGAGAGTGTCCAGCTGTGAAATGAAATTCTGTGTAGCACTTTAGCCTATGCAGGAGCGGGTGGAAAATCTTTTGCTACCCCAGTGGTTAGCACATACGACTTCCCGCATACAAAATGCAATGAGCTATCGTTTACAATGTTGTTCATTTTTATGAAGCAGAGAGAGTCCTGGATGATTAGCTGCTGAAATTGTCAGCCCTTCAGGCCTTCTTAACAAATATTTTGTTTTTGAATGAAGAAGATGATTGGTTCTGGATACCTGCAAAAAAAGGAAGGCTTGAGAAGAGATGTGCATTTTAAAACCAATACAGTCCTGTCTGAAAGCTTTTTGACCTGATTTGAACCCTGAACCCTGATGTACATTGCCTTGAGAGTAAGTCCCAATGAAGTCAGTGGGTCTTACATCTAAGAACACATGTTATTTGTTTGTTAATTATATTTTTATCTCTTCTTTAAAGGAAAGTCAAGGTGGTGTGAAAGGTTTCACCTTTCATTTTATCCACACTGCAACCCCGCAAAGTAAGTTAGCTTCACCAACAGTGACTGGACAATATAACCCTGTGCTTTTTGATTTATTTATTTTTGCTAAGTGGGATTTGAACTCTGGTCTTCAATATCCTAGCCTGGCCACTACACTAAAAAATGCAGGGACATTGTTTTCCATATGCACAAAAATAAAACTAGTCCTCTCTTATAATAAAATAATGTTTTCAATCACACGCTTGCGTCATTCCTTCCAATCTAACTATTACATTCAGAAGCAGAATTTTTAAAATTGTATTATTTTTTAATATAAATGCTTCTACAAATTGCAGTTTTAAAATGAAGAGTTCTCTCTTCGTTAAATTACAGGGAAAGTGGCTCTTTCGAGAGGGCAACTGCAATGACACATCTGTGCACCGTAAAGAAAGTATGCCTCTTGCTTCAGAAATATATATTTTAACCTATTTGCAAACATATGCAATTTTAATTGATTGGTTAATCAAATAAAGCATGCATGATTAATCAGTGGCAATTTGTCTAACAGAGTTGCAGCCCCAGCTGTAAGACTCTGTACAGCAACAATTAAGTGCTCAGGATGGAAGATGCCAACAGGTGCACCAGCTGTGCCAGAATTGCACAAATAGTCCAGCAGTGTTATAGGAAGATTCACCAGCTCACCTCTTTTAAGTTCTAGGTAGTGCTGAAACTAGAATTCTAACAGCAGCTTGCAGGGAACATTCAAATATTGCAAGGAAGAGTGACCTGTGGTCCCCAGAATATTAATGTATCATGTTCCAAGTCCAAGTCTTAGAGACATACACAGCGTCATATATGAACTAATAGTCTTGGTGGACTGCACTGGGGACCCCATGGTTTGTCTGATCACTGATGTTCTGCCAGCATACAAACTACTACAGTGGTACCTCGGGTTACATACGCTTCAGGTTACAGACTCTGCTAACCCAGAAATAGTGCTTCAGGTTAAGAACTTTGCTTAGGATGAGAACAGAAATTGTGCTTCAGTGGCGCGGCGGCAGCAGGAGACCCCATTAGCTAAAGTGGTGCTTCAGGTTAAGAACAGTTTCAGGTTAAGAACGGAGCTCCAGAACAAATTAAGTACTTAACCTGAGGTACCACTGTATTGGGTTGTCATTGCATAAACCAGTTGGACACTGTTAACTGACCCTTTTTCAATTAACATGGAGCTATCTTTTGTTTATTTCAGCCAATTTCATTATTAGCTACCTTCTGTGGATCTTGTGAAAGTCTGTTGTCCATATTACCTGATATCCTTTTAAGTATTTTAATGGACAATCTGTGCTAAGCTCTCTCCAATGAAATCAGCAGGGCTTAACAGTGCTTAGCTTGGGCTGGTTGACGGCATTTCTTCCCTCTTTACTAAGCATGATGCTTTGCTTCTGTTTTCTCCTCATCTGAAGCTGCCTAGTCATTTTTTAAATCAATACCATTTTTGTCAGCATCTCTCACGTAATTTACCATCATACCTCTGAGGAGGTCTTATTGGGAATTAATAATGTAGTACCATTATTTTCCAGAGCACAGTCACTTAAGAACATAAGAAAAGCCTGCCAGATCAGGCCAGTGGCTTATCTAGTCCAGCCATCCTGTTCTCACAATGGCCAACCAGATGCCCACGTAAAACCTGCAAGCAAGACATGAGCACAAAAGCATTCTCCACTCCTGCAACTCCCAGAAACTGGTATTCAAAGGCATACTGCCTCCGACAGTGAAGGCAGAATATAGCCATCGTGGCTCTATTTCTCCATAATTTTGTTTAATCCTCTTTTAAATACATTATCATTGGTGGCACTCTCTAGTTCTTATGAGAGCTAATGCCATACTTTAACTACATGCTGTGCAAAGGTTTATTTTATTTTGCCTGTCCTGCTTCTTCCAACCATCAGCTTCATTGGATGTCTACAAGCTCTAGTGTAATGAGAAGAGGACCAAACTTTTCTCTACCCATTTTCTCCACACTATTCATAATTTTATACATCTATATCAAGTCACCTTTTACCCACCTTTCCTCAAATGCTGCAACCTTTCCTGTTAGGCAAGTTGTTCCATCGCATTGATCATTTTGGTTGCCTTTATCTGAACCTTTTCCAGCTCTGCAATATCCTTCTGAGGTGAGATGACTAGGCCTGTACTCAGTATTCCAAGTGCGGTTACAGCATATGATATTGGCAGTTTTATAATCAGTTTCTTTCCTAGCAAAGGATTTGCCTTTTTCACAGCTGCTGTACACTGGATCAGCATCTTCACTGAGCATATTTACTACAACCCCAAGGATGTTGCTTCTGGGAGGTTACCCTCGGAGGTTTTTGGGTAACTAGTGACCAACAAGTCTAATAAATGATTATACTGATGGTGATGTTTGTTTTCTTCCTTGGCTTTTATAGACAAGTGAGTTATAGAATGATTTGTGGGTGGGTGGTTTTTTAAACAAAAACAAAAAAACCCCAACATTGTTGCTGTTATTACTGAGAACAATAATATGAATAATATGCATAGGCAAGCGAGTTATAGAATTTAAAAACAACACTGTTGCTGTTATTACTGATAGTACCAATATGAATAGTATTCACGTGTCAAATGAAATGCACGCCAAAAACACGATGAAATATATGACATGATGCCCGTTGCCTTTTATTTAAGTAGTTCCTCGCGTTTTCCTTGGCATGCATTTCATTTGTCACGTGAATAGCTGTCAACTTTTCCCTTTCTTTAAGGGAAATTCCCTTATTCCAAATAGGATTCCTCGCATTAAGGCTTTCTGGGAAATGATATATAATGAATTGAAAAAGGTATTTAAATATACCTTCTTGAAGAAACCAGAGGCCTTTCTCCTGGGCATAGTCGGCCAATTGGTGTTAAAGAGGGACAGAACTTTCTTTATGTATGCCACAACAGCAGCAAGAATTCTTATTGCAAAGTATTGGAAGACACAAGATCTACCCACCCTGGAAGAATGGCAGATGAAGCTGATGGACTATATGGAACTGGCGGAAATGACTGGCAGAATCCAAGACCAGGGAGAAGAGTCGGTGGAAGAAGATTGGAAGAAATTCAAAGATTATCTACAGAAATATTGTAAAGTTAATGAATGTTAGAATGATGTTCGATAAAAACTAAGTGGTTCTTAGCTGAAATGTTACAAGGGAAGATGAAAAAGGGTTTACTATGTAATATGTAAAAATCTAAAAGTACAATATCTTTATGATTATTGACTAGGATATTTAAAAGAGGGGAGGGAACTGCTGAACAAAATATGTGAACTGGAATACAAAAAAGGGAGGTGTGAGGAGGTTGAGGAAACAAGTAAATGAAGGATAAGACATAGACTAATCTGTTCGTTTAACTGTTTTTATTTTGTATTTTGTATTTTTCTATTTTTATATCTTTTTTCTTTTTGTATCTGCTTTCCTTTTTCTTTTTTTCGCTCATTTTTGTAATATGTTGAAACTTTAATAAATATTTTTTTTTTAAAAAAACCAAATAGGATTCCTCGCAAGAAAAGGGAAAAGTAGACAGCTATGCGCGCGTGTGTGAGGGGGAATAGATAAACCCATAAACAACGACGACACTTTTATTAATAATAGTATGCATCTGTCACAAGTTAAGCGCATCAAGGAGAAAGAGGCAGCTTCGCCCTGCAAGCGAAGAAGCACGTGGAGCTGACAAGGGTCTCCGTGCTCGCCGCTCTCTCGGCGCCACGTGTCGGGCAGCACCTCTCCCACTCCAACCGGAGAGCTATCGCAGGGCGGCGGCGGCGGGGCGCTTGTTTTGAAGGCTTCCCTCCGCCCCAGCCGCCTTTCAGCCTAAGCATAACGAACGGGACCCTTGACGCTTCTGCTCCCGTACACAGGGCGTGAGACCGCGAGGCTGCCGCGTCGCTCCGCCCTTCCCTCAGCACCGCCCAGCCCGCGGGAACTACAACTCCCATGATGCTTCGAGGTTTCCTACCCGCTTCGGCCTCCGTGATTCCGCTTTCCCCATAAGGCACTGGGCCTGGTGACCCCCGCCAAGCCGCGAAGGTCGTGTCCAGGGAAGAGGCAGACAGTTTCCGCTCAGGTTCCCTCCGCTGCCGGTTGTGCGTGCTCGTCCTCCCGGCGCCATGTTGGGTGTCAGCGTCCGCCGGTTCGCCACCTCGGCCATTCGCCGTTCGCATTATGAGGAGGGGCCTGGAAAGGTAGGACGGGGCAGGGGAGGTTAGGGGCTCCCCCCACCCCGCAATTTCCTCCCTTGGCCTGGCCGGGCCGGGCCCAGGGGAGCTTCCCGGCAGGTATCTGCCCGCCATGCTGGGGCATTTGCGCCTCTTGGGGTCTCGGGGGTGCTTCTTGGTTGGCGCTTGGGCTTGAGGAGGCGGGGGGGGTCCTTGAGGGAGGGGTGCTGATTCCCGCCCCCTTCCATCCCAATCTCTCTGGCGAAGCAATTATTTTTCATTCGTTTTCTCCGAGGTCATATAGCAATCCGTTCCCCAGCCGTTGCTCTTCCACTAGGACCTTGCTTCGCCCTACAGCTGCTTACAACAAAAACACATTTATTATTATTATTATTAAATGTATGTTGTTTATACCTCTCCCATTTGACTGAACCTAACCCTGAAGTACAGGGCAGGCGATTGGCAGCGGCGACCTCCCCCCCCCCCGAAAAAAAGAAAGAAAGCTAAACAACTGAAGAGTAGTCGCTCAAAAAAAAGAAAAGAAAAGAAAAAGCTCAACAGTAACTACCCCCTAAAAAGAAAGCTCAACAACTGAAAACTGATCCCTCCCCCCCAAAAAAGCTCAAAAGCTTCGGCTAACATCCCTCTAAAAATCTGAACAACTGACGGGCAATCTCTGCAAAAAAAAAAAAAAAAGCCCATTTTAAGAAATACTGATTTCTTAATTTGGGGTTAAAAAAAAATAGGAGTAATCCTATATGTGGGGGCAGAATTACAAGGAAATTTTTTCCCAGTAGGGAAAATGGCTCCATGTAGGCTACGGGCTGCAGCCTTCAGTGTATGAGGGAAATACATTGTACAAAATGGGAGGTATGCTAGCGTGGATCGAAAGCAGTGGTTCCCAGTCGGTGGTCCTCGGACCCCAGAGGGTCCATGGTACCATTCACATAACAATAACTACAACAGGGATATCAAAAATTTCAAAAGTAGGGCGTCTGTGGCTTGGCTTTTGAAAAACGGGGTCTGCAGTGCTTAGCTAATATGAAACCACTGGTCTAAAGGGCTACTTTAGCTGGGATTACTGGAAACGCCTTGAAAATCTCATTGGTTTCAAAATAGTACTGCAGTTTATCACAGGGGAGAAGGCTATGGGTTGAGAAACTTCCAACAGAAGGTTCCACTGGTGCACCTAACTGATTAGATTGATCATAGAATTGAAGAGTTGAAAGGTACAGCAAAGTTCATTCAGTCCAACTCTCTCCCATGCAAGAATTATTTTCCTAACATGGAGCTCAAACCCACAACCCTGAGTCTCATGCTCTACCAACTGAGCTATATTAGATCCCATCTATAGACATTGAACTCAGTGGATCGCTTTGTGGGCTTTAAGCACTGACATAGTACAATATTCTTGCTAATGCAACATAATTCTCTCTCCTTGGCTGCTAAGTTTCCAGTGGTACAAATGATGAGAACATAACAGTATGAATAATGATGATACTGTAAACGCTTTCTGATGTACCTAGTCCTCTTCGTGAATTCCATTAAAGAAGAAGTTGCCAGAAGATCATTTGAGAGGGAAGCAAAATGGTGATATTGCAATAATGCCATGAAAATACAATTAGATCATGATCTTACCTATGATTAATCACTGTTTACGCCTTTATACTCTTTTAAGAGTCAAGCAGATGAATACCCTGATTGAAGCCTGGCTCAAATTGTACATGAAGTCTTCCCATATGCAGGGCAAAAATCTTTCATGGTACCAACACTGCCACATTTTAAAAATATGGCTAAATGCACATTGAGTACAGTTAAATGATAATGATTGGGATCAGAGCAATTAAGTCTTTAATTTCCTTCACTTCTTCTAGGACTTGGCTAAATTAGCTTTTGCACATATTAATAACTTGGTACCACTGCTATAAAAGAACTTCAAAATTCTTGTTTCTCCAGAACCTCCCTTTTTCTGTGGAAAACAAATGGCGATTATTGGCAATGATGGCAGCCTTCTTTGGAAGTGGATTTGCTGCTCCTTTTATTGTAGTAAGGCACCAGCTGCTCAAGAAGTGAACATACAATATTGGGTAATTACTACTATTTGTCTTACATCTCTCTAAGTTTGTTATTGTGTGCCAGTGGATTACTTGGATTGTCACAGAACTATACATACACTACGAATTTTTATTTTAATACTAAATGTTTGATTGCTGGTGAAGAAATACAAATACTAATGTGTTAGTCTTTGAGTGGTAGGCACTATTCCTGTGAGTAGTTAAAATTCTGGGTACTGCAGGTAGAGCAAGTTGCACACATATAAATTGCCTTTGATTAAATGCAGATTTGAATGGGCATCAAAAATATTAAGGTGGGAGCCCTCATTTAAAGGCACTAGCAAAATATTTAAGCTTGTCAACTTCATAGCAGTTTGATCTCTGCTGTTGAGCTGAAAGAAGGAAAAGTACTTAAGTGAAAGGTGTTGCACCTTTGCCTTTACAGCTAGATCCTGAACCAGCTCTCTACCATTATGTACCAGTGATGGGCCTGATATGTGCACCTTCACTGGGAACTGGCGTAGTATAGTGGCATTCTTACCTGTTTCCCCATACTCTCCACCACCTTCTGTGCTGGTCATCATGGATGGCAGGTTTGTAGATGCAGCAGCGGCTATGCCATTTCTTAAGCCCCACTGTTGCTGGCTAGGGGTTTGGAATGCCCTCCCCTCCAATTGTTTAAAGTATAACACCTACACAAAATAGTTTAAAAGCTCTTCAGAACACAATAAAGGCATTTCAAGATTGTGGCATATATAATAATAAAAGGAACTTCTATAAAACAAGAGCAGCGGCATGGGTCATTGTTGGACCATCTGCATGCACAGGATCTTGGATCCAGCCTTCAGAATTTCCAGTTGAAATGATATTGATTAGCAATTAATGGGAAAGATCTCTTCCTGGAATTTGGCAAACTGCGGTTAGTCAGGGAAGACAGTAGTGGACCAGATGGATAAGTATTCTAGTATAAAACAGTTTCCAATGTCCACATCAGATCTAATTTCACAGTGTTCAGTGAAATGTTAATGCATAAGTCTGATCTGTATGTGATGATGCCTTTGGAGTATACTTCGCAATTTGATTTGATTTAATTCACTGTAAGGAATTTAATTCATTTGTAAGGAAGGGATTTCTGTCTGTTAGCCTGACTTATTTATTTCTCTTTCAGAATGAAGATGGAAGTTTATCTAGAGTACAACTTTCTTTTCTGAAAGAAAGCATACAACTAAGACTAATCACACTGGATGTGTTTGTAAATAAAAATTAAATCTGAAAATAGAGTGTGGGCTTTTATTTCTGCTTGCTGCTCAGTTATTGAAATCCACAATGCAGAATCATTCCATCCTCATTGAAAATGGAGATGGGACTTTTATATTTTGCCTTGATTCAGTCTGTTCAGTATCTTCAAACACACACCTTTCAGTTTCTCTATAATATGCAATTACTGGTATAAATCTGGAAAATTTGAGTTTTTCACTGAGGGGATGATGTTCTATTTGAGGGTGTTCATCAGTGGCCCAGCTCCCATTGATAGGGGTCTAGCTGTGGGCAATGTGTCTCAGTTGTTGCAGCTGGACTACTTTTTCTCTTGCACTCAGTGTTGGTATGCCACTCCCAAATGTAGAAAGAGCAGCATGGTTTGCTCCTTGAGAGAGTATTGGTCTGCAATCCTAAGCATTCTTAATAAAAGAACCAGTTACCCTTTAAACTGGAATTCCTATACTGTAGTCTGTTATTGGGGGTGGATGTCCTCAGACAGAATTCGTTTTATTTACTGCAGCCCTGAGGTCCACCAACCTAGACTCGTGTGCAAAACAGTGACTCAGGTAAAAAATGCTAAGAAATAAGTAACCGGATGCCTCTGCATACATTCTCAATTCAAGAATTCGTCATTGGTACCAGAACTAATCTTCCTGCCCAAATCCATTTCTAGTTTTACTACAAACATTCTTTTTCCAACAGTTTTTTATTATTTTTAAGGTGGGGAGCTTTTTGCATGATAGTATTGCCACTATGGGTTCCATAGGTAAATCCTCATCTGCTTTCTGGCCTACTAATTGTTAAAATTAAAGTAAGGCAAGTGATCTACAGTAATAACCAACTAAGTCAAACCTGGGCTAGATCCACTGAAATCAATGGACTTGGCTGCAAAGGGTCTACCCTGAGTATGACTATCATTGGCTGTCCCCCATAGAAATGAAAGCAACCCTTCACAAGCAGTTTTTGTCTTAAGAATTTTTAAAGGTGCCTTGCTGGATCAGATAGGCCTTGTAATCAAGTGTAATTTATGAGTAATCTCTCAACAGATGGGCCACCAGAAATTAACTGCTAAACTACTGGAGTCTTGGCTACATTCTGAACATAACAATCTGCTTGATTAGTGAGGTGAGGTGAGAATATCCTCCACAAACTAAATTCTAATGTAAGAACCAGTTTTACAACCCACATTTAAAAAAATCTAATGAATAATGATTTTTTGATCCAGTTACATTACAGGGCATTGTGTCATTCCCCATTTGCAGTTCTGAAATGTGACCTACAGAAACAGATTTTTTAGTTTTAAAAATGCTATTCATTTAATTGGATGAACATTTGTATTTGTGTATATCTCAACTATATGTAGTAGCCTTTTTTCTATTTTGGTGTGACATTATTCTTAGCAATTTTACACCCTTGGCCATACAGTGTGATTTTTTTTTTACAGAAAGTAGTTTTAATGCTTTATACACTTAAAAGTGCCTAGACCTGTACAAATGTGTGTAACAGTATGTGAGATGGCCTTGATTTAAACAATTGATGTTTCTAGATTTTTATTTAGTGCCAGTAACTGGTATACTACATGTCTGTTAACTAATTATATCATTTTTAATGCATTGCAATTATATCATTTTCAGTGCATTAAAATGAATATTCTCCTATTTTAAATGAAAATGATCTAATATTCTCATTAATTGAGAATATTATCCAAAACATTATTCTCGAGAATTTAATATCACTATGCTTGATCAGACCAATGGCCCAGTAGTTTTCACAGTGGCCAAGCAGGCCTGTTGGAAACCTTCAAGCAGGATCTGAGCATGGGAGCATTCTTGTCTCCTTCCAGTAGCTGGTATTCGGGAGCAGTACTGCCTCTTAACTGGAGGCAGAACAAAGTCATCATTGCTAATGGCCAATGATAGCCTTGTCTTCAAGGAATTTGATCCTCTTTCAGAAGCCACCCAAGTTGGTAGCCATCGCTACCCTCCTGTGAGAGCAAGTTCCATAGTTTTAACCGCTGCATGAAAATGTGCTTTCTTGTGCCTGAATCTTATCCTTCCTGACACCATTGTTCATACTGGGCACAAAACTTAACATTTTGAGTTCTTTGTATTTTGTGTTCTCGCCCAGTAGAAAGCAGATGGGATAATTATGTAAAACTCTCCATTAATTCCTAGGTATGGTTGCAGTTTGTAACTAGATACTACAGAGAGTCATCCATTACCTGCATGCTGAGATGCAACACAAACGAGTAGGAATACGTGTTCAAAAAGGGAGGCTTTTTACATTTGGCCAAATAAGCTACAGATTTCTATTTAAACATAAATTCACATAATGCTACTGTTAATACCCAGAATGAGCAGTGATATTAAATACAATAAAAATGATAGCTCAATTGGTTCAAGTGCGGTGCCGCCCAGAGCGGCTGGGTTTCCCAGCCAGATGGGTGGGGTATAAATATTACGCCAGAGTGACTGGGGAAACCCAGTCAGATGGGCAGGGTATAAATAATAATAATCTTAGGCCAAGGTTGTAGGTTCAATCCCCATGCAGGACAGTTGCATAGTCCTGAATTACAGGGAGTTGGATTACATCAGTGGTTCTCAACCTTTTTTTGGCCATGCCCCACCTAAGCATCTCTAAAATCTTGACACCCCACCCCCCGGTTACATATTATTCTTACTCAAAAAGTGAACAAGGCCATCCACTGTTCACTCATTCTCAAATTGCAACCCCCCCCCCTAAAAATCAAATTGCCCCACGTTGGAAACCACGGGATTAGATGATTCTCAAGTTCTCTCCCACCCCTATGATTCTATAGTAAAATATTATCTGCTCCTTTAGGAAGGAAAACTGTGTGTCCCAAAACAGTTCAGCTACAGAATCCTGATTATCACCAGGGGGTTGGGGGTGGAGATATTTGCCATGGCTCAGTGACATGACTGCTAACAAACCATTCTCTCTCAACCTTTCTGTTTTGAGTGTCTAAAATATGCTAAAAGCATGGTAACCTGTTGTTGGGTTGTCAAGAGAGGGTGTAAATATTGCTACCTTCAAGAGAGCACGATATTCAGAAATAAATATGACCAACAACACTGAATGAACAAATGAGACTGGGTGACAGTTTTTCATGTGTTCACTGGCAAGAAGCTGATTTGGGGACAATTAATGGTCTGCACAAGCACCCAACGCTAAACTAATCAGTTCAGCTTCTGAGCAGTACATGGCAGGAATTCTGCTTGTTTATTATTTTTTATGACTTGCAATGAATGTCAATTCTGAAAAGCTCTTTAAATCATCCTCGTGGCACATGATAAGTCAGGAAGGAGCGACCTTTTCCCAGAGCAGCATTTTCCCTGCTTATGGTTTCCCAAATACTGATAAAGTTCTGTGAGTACAACACAAAGTGCCAGATTCATCATACTGAAATGATGGCTAATGTGCAATGCAAGGTAGCTGGCTTTACTCCTGGCACATAAGCTATATCACTCATAATTGTTTGTGCATTCCTGCAAATGCCAAGAAAATCAAACATCTGTCATGCCAGATGAGGGAACACGACTCATTTACCACACTTAGCACTCCACTCATCCTGGAAAAGGTCACTTGGACATGAACAAGCTGTACGTGGTTAACCAGAGTAGAAAATGATAGCATACATCTCCCAAGGCATGTAGATGGAATTGGTGGCTCTAACAATATTAATATGGTTATTCACCTTCAAGGAACATTTTTGGGGGGATTTTTTTAAATGTATACAAAGTTATGAGGTCTAAATGGCTTATTCTGGAAAGTCTAAAAGCTTGGTATGTGAAATATTAACAATTTGGATTTTACAGTTGACATACAGTATATAGGCAGAGTTTACCCACTGAATTTAATGCAGCTTATGCGCAGAAAAATGTGCATTTTAAGTTGCTTTGGACATCTTAATACTTCATATTTAGTGTTTTTTTACGTGCTAGACATTTTTGCTACAATTTTTGCTCTAGGCGAACTTTGCTATTGGATGCAATTGCTAAAACAAACAGAGGTTGAGAAACAGCAATACTGGGGTAAATGAAGAAAAGGCCTACTTGGTGGTGGTGGCTCCCCAGTAACTGAATAATAAGAATAATCATTTTATTACTTATACCCCACCCATCTGGCTGGGTTTCTCCAGCCACTATGGCTGACTTCCAGCATATCTAAAAACATAATAAAAACATCAAGCATTAAAAACCTCCAGATACAGGGCTGCCTTAAGATGTCTTCTAAAAGTTGTGTAATTATTTATCTCCTTGACATCTGAAGGGAGGGCTTTCCGCAGGGAGGGTGCCAATACCAAGAAGGCCCTCTGCTCTCTTTAATGCCCTCAAGAGGCTCATGTTGTGCCTTTTTACAGTCTTTTCGGCACCACATGCAGGCCGTTACAGCTTTTAAACTATGAATTTCAGGGTCGATTGATTTTATTTTCTTTTTAAAAATAATTTTTATTAACCGACCAATCAAATCAAATCACATCACATAAATTCCGAATTACAAAGCCGAATTTTAAATTTTTGTTGAGGGGACCCATATTTCAAGATCCGAAGGGGGATTCCAATCAACTTCTTGCTACTGCGTTCATATCCAAATCAGTCCAAATAAAGTTCATAATTCTATCCAGTCTTATCTTGCTGTTTCCACATAGCATCTTATTCGTATATTTTTTCTTTTTTCTTTAAGATCTCTTCTGATAATCTCCTTAAGCAGAAAAACACCAATTATATCCTGTGTGGATTTTTCCGTTCGTCCAATCCTCATATCGAGATGGTTTCCATATATCATCACTTTCATAAATAACATCGCTCTTTCCATCATTAATCTCAGGATCTGTCGTTCTTAAGTCCCACTGAGGAGTCTCACCCACAATATAAAAACAGCTCTTTTCCTCCTCCCAGACTCAAGTCCTCCGACAGAGCTTGCCAATATGGCGGCGGTATTTTTAACTGCGTGATTCCAGAGCTCTTAAACATTCCACGCTCTTCT